TGCCCAATAACTATTACTTAACGATTAGTGATTTGAATCGGTTGGGCTATAATCGGTTAATCGACCAGAACCGAATAAATTTCGGTTAACCGGTTGAGAAAATTCTTAATCGGCTGACCCGATACAACCGGTTGAGAATTGGGTAATCAGTTGGCGAAGTATGAAAATGACGTAAGGAGGGAGTAAATGGTCCGAAAGTTCCGAAAAGAAACTGAATGAACATAAAGACGAGACAAAAATTTGAGTAAAGCACTATGTAGTAGATAGTTAATCTGAACCGGTTGGCAATCGGTTGAATGAAATAATTCAGTTCTGTTAACCGATTAAGGAAATTTTTCTCGGTTCAAATCACTATTAACGATATCCTACTATGATCAGGTCTATCAAATAAATAATACTTATTGTCGGCTACGCATTCAATAGCTATATATTATTGCAAAAACTAGATTTCGTAATTTGACATGCCACTTAGCAATCTTGATCCTGGCTAGCTGAGAACATTTCTTATTATACTACTGTACTTTATTCTCTACCTGATTCTATATGTCTAATTTGTTTATTCCTTTTTTTTTATTGATCTATTGTAATACGAGTCTGCCAAAAAATTATGAATTTAAGTCCCTAAATGCTAATCAGCGATATATAATATGTACGTAATTGAAAGCATATATTCTAGACATAAATAGGTGATAATGAAACTTATTTTATCAACACTCAACGATAATAATAACTTAAGCATAGCAAATTTGGACTAGACTACACTTTAAAAAAGAAACCCATTTATATATTTATTATATAATTGTTACACTTGACTAGAAACGCCAATTAAAATCAGATTATTTTAATTTACGATTACCTTATTTTGGAATAATAAACGTACTAATACGTATATGTTTTGTATAAATTCCATCATAAGTTTTTTTGCAAAAATCCAAATTCTTATTCGATTTTAAACGTTCAAACTTAAGTATATTAATAATATACTTAAATTTTAACATCATGCATTTGGCATTAAGATGCTTAATCACTAATGCTAATATTAAAGTAATAAAAATCGATTACAGCAACATCATACTAGCCAAATTATCAATATATCTTACTAAATGATGATATTCTATGCCTGAATGTAAGTACGTAATCATTAGTGGTAATCGATTACATCTCTAACAAATTATGAATACAGTCTAGACAAATCTTTGAGTTCAATACTATCAATGAATTCTTTAAAGTTCAATAAATTATAATAATTTTTTTATAATCGTCTAATCTTACAAATAAATAATAGTAAACAAAGTGAATGCTAATAATACAAATTCAAATGGTTTAATACAAGAAATGATCATGCTAACAATTAAATTATATGACAATTTTTTGTATACACGACCCTATCTATAAATATTGAAATATCACTTAGAAAGTTTGTCGTGTTTTGTTAATACCTAAATTTCTTCTGTATTAATAATTTCTAACATTTTAAGCGTTTTTTTTTCAAGTTCTCTTTTCAACTCTGCATCGGCAAATATTACCTATAAATTTTATCTTGATTATTAATCTGTACGAATGAGAAATAAAAACTTTTAAAATAATTTATTTTTACCTTCGCATAATTATCAATATCAAACATAAAAGGTTTCGTGCCAAAGTTAGCTACAATACATTCTCCTTTTGTTGCCAATCCACTCATTGGATACATTTCTCCTAGAATTCTATAATTAATTAAATCATCTATTTTTAATAAACGATTAATTTATTAGATATTTATATATCATTATGCGCATAAAAACATATAGCTACAATTATTAAAATAACTTATTATACTTGCCGTAAGAAAATGTTTCAAAATAAAAGGATGATTCTTTACCTATGTTTATACCATTTTTTGTAAAAAAAATCTCCATATTGAGAAAATTAATTCCGCAACCAACTGTATCTCCAACATTGTAACAAGGACCAAAGAATTCCCCTGTTCCACGTTCATGATATAGACGACCATTGTCTCCATGATATCCAATTGTACCATGAACCCATCCTATATTTGTTTTAAAAATATTAAGTGTTTACCATTTTGAGAACTTTTGTTGAACCATTTCTAATTTCTTTCATAAGTTGCCATTTACGTACCTGGTAATATATTAAGATCAACATCTGACTTACAATATCCAATTCCAATACAACTTAAAAATTATCTATGTATATTAGTTTTCATATTTTTATTTATTAAGATCTACAAAATTATGAAAATAAACCTACCCACTTTCTCCACTATTCAAAACGGTTATTTCAAAATAATATAAACCAACTTCTGGTGGAATAGGTTTATTAGTTCTAATTGCGGCAGCATCTGATGATGTTCTTCCTGGTCCATTATATTCAACTTTTAAATTATCTTGATCTATAATAGTTACATAAGGCCAACAATCCGCTGAATTCCAATGTGTCGGTAATGAAAATGAATTATATAAATTTTTTTTATATTTATTTATAGGACTATGACGAAGATAACTTGGTAAAAATTCGTTTGATGCCATTAATTTTTTTAATTAAAAAAAAAAAAGAGAAAGAATTGATTTTTATATAGAATGAACTTTTAAAAATTTGTTCGATCAAGGTTATTACAAATCATGAGATCATCCTAGATTCTTAAATAAGAATAAAATGGTGCTACAGTACGTACTCATGCAGTGCGATCATCATTGTTGTCATTTGGCCTGTGACGTTTAATGATGTCATGGAACCTCCAAGACGATTTTAACGTTAAATAATGAGAAAGCTTATTATAATAACCCTTTTAAGATATTAATTAAAGTTATTGCTTTATATAAATCTTCATATTATAATAGATTTATATGCTACATGGGGCTACGATTTTCTGCGGATTACTATCAGTCCACATATGACATGTACAACACTGCGCGCCATTAATGTAGTGTTATAATTTATTCGGAAATCTCCACAATAATACGTCAAATCACCTTCAGCCTAATTTTATTGCATATAAATATGTAGGTTTTTATTGTAGCACGAGAAACAAGTGTCACGAAGTTTGTATAATGTTGAAGTGTGTAACTTTTGAATCATTACTGTAATGAAGTATGCTCTTTCTCATTAAAAAATTGCCACATTATTGCTGGGCAAAATTGTGTTGATCATTGTCGTTTTTGGTATTAATGCTGGTTATGATTAAAAAACCGATGTGCCTCAAAAATACTGACATATTGGCACGTTAAATCAGAAATTTATGGAATCTCATCATCTCTAAGGATGTTAAAATGAATAATTTAGTCACTTTTTAAACTAGTTTGAGCCGAGCCCAATTGTCAATGACCACATGATATTTGGATAGATGTGATTTTTCTCATACGATCACGTGTACACTTAATATATTGGGGTGTTAGATACTAAATGATTAACTATCATAGGGCAGCACTATATGATTGGCCCACTATTTAAGATTTTTAAA